TTGCCGTTTTCCCCGTCTTTCTACGACCATCGGTTCGGAAGTTAGACAGGGGGGGGGGCAGAATCTGCCCCCCCCCCCCCAGCAGGGCGCGTATGGCTGAATAGCCCAGCGGGGCGCGGGTTAATATCAACCCATTATGACAACAATTTAACTGCCAAAAAAATCACATTAACCATCCTATTCCTCATTTCAAAAGTGCTCCACCATTGACACGAGGGTATTGAGCAGCGACCCTGTCACCAGCTCCGCTCAGACTTTAATCTGGGCCGGCCTGCAGTCGATCCCTGAACCGCCATCTCTTTAGGAGTCAGGTAGCGGCGCCGTATTAACGGCCCTCACGCGGCCCGTCAGTGAGGTCCGACCGCGAGCCGACCGCCGCGGGAGCGTCCTTCATCTCAGCGCGATGGGCTCAGCCGCGCCGTCCCAGCCCGTCCGGTGGGCTGGAAACGGGGCTGGGGGCTGAGGGCTGGAAGAGGATGATGGATGGAGCTGACGGCTGGGACTAAGGGCTGGACGGGGCTGAGGCATAAAGTTGAGGCCTATAGCTGAGGGCTGGACGCGCCTGAGGGGTAGAGCTGCGGGCTGGAGCTGATGGCTGGAGCTGATGGCTGGAGCGGAGAGAATGCTGGAGACGCAGAACTGCCGGATGAGGGTGGCAGATACGTAAAAGTCTAACCAATTTGCCTCAGAAGTCAGAACCGAACGAGCTCGCTCCCCGCCCCCATCACACAGAGTTGATGATCTAACTTCTTGGTCTGATACGGATGCTGTGACAGAACTCGATTACAGAGGATTCGTAAAAAGGCTACTTTCCGGGCGAGTTTAGTGCCTTGAGCAGGCAGCGGACAGTTCCCTTACTACTCAAGCGGTGCAATTCTTTATTTCAGCACATGCCTTTAGATAGGACCGTTATCACATCATTGAAGAGCGTTTTCGACGCTTTGTCTTCATTCTTGAAACGTAACAACGTAAGTTCGGGCTCTGTTGTCTGGAATTTTCCAGAACAACGTAACAACGTAAGTTCGGGCTCTGTTGTCTGGAATTTTCCAGGAATTTTATGTTTTAGGGCCTTGGAATTTTCCAGGAATTTTTCCTTTATTGAATCTCGTGCCCTTATTGAGTTCAGTCCATCAGCGAGGTCTACCAGGCAAGGCAAGTCTGGCTGTTCGGTGAAGTAGAACGGTCGGTAACAGGCTGATCACTGTTCAGCTCTGATACTAGAGCTCCTTCCAGCGAATGTCCAGCATCATCCAGTAGCGTCCGGCGGCGTCCAGCGAAGTCCAGCGTCGATGCATGCCTCCCAGGGGCACTCTTCTGAACGCGCTGCTAGATTGCGTGCCCCTGTCGTGGCCAGGTCGATCGCTGCCAGGATAGCGGCGGCTCAGGAGCTCAGCAAGGCGCGTTTATTGTATACGCTGCTCGATAGATGAGAGGGTGTATCACTCACCGGGGGCAGGAGGGTAATCTCCTGTGTATCTACCACCATCACGCGTGTGCACGCATCCACGCTTAACGCGTGCGCCGCGCCGACAGTCGTATTTTTCGGTAGTCGATAGCTCTCAGGGGATGTCAGTGGTATCGGGATGGATATATGACGTGATCTGGGGCTGATCAGATGTGCCCCCGAGCTCACGTAGATTGTAATTAACGTGCGATAAACTAGATTGTAATTTACGGCACCTAGCTAAAAGGCATATTTGAGATAAATCTGGCGTTCATTCTCACATTGTTTTGCGCTAGAACTTAAATGTCCACGACTCAACTACAACATTGCCATATTGTATAAAACAGCTTCTGTTTTTTCCCTTCGGTTTCTTCCCAAAGTTAATTCAACCCAATATTACCTAAATCAGCGTGTTCGCAACCGGCCGCACTTATGTGTCCAAGTGCATGAGCTTTTCCATGATTGACATACCACCTTTGACAAACGGTCATGTAATACAGGCGTGCAAGCAATAACCGTTGAAAGACGAGACAGAACGGCAATGGAAGGGGACGGTCAAGGGTTTCATACGCCGTTTGATACAGCACCACACGCGAGCGAGCCATTTCACATCTATATTGAATAGGCGACTGTGAATCTGAGTCATTCCTTAGTGCCGCACGCTACCGGGTCGTTTGCAAGTGCGGGGGTACACGTGAAATATTTATGGTCTACGTGGACCGTTTGCCCCGGTCTGTACGGTCATCAGGTGACATTAGAGCTCCGACAGGGGCGGCCCTGCCCTTCCAGGCTGGCTGCCAAATTGCTGACCGGATCGCGGGTCGCCGCTACCCGTGTGTGATGGACGAGGTGGGTTCCAGCTGTGCAGTGTGCAGGAAAGGAGCGGGCCACCGATCAGCGGCGCACAGTAGTGGGACGCAGGCATCCCCGCCGTGCAGCGGCCCGGGCGGCGAGCGGCGGGCAGGTCTGGCCCGACCCGACCAGCACGGCGGGCAGCAGCGGCCGCTGAAACCATGACACGCCGCTCCCAGCACGGTCAGGTAGCCGCCGACACTTCCTGCGGCGTCCTGTTACGCCGCAAAAACGCGTGAGCTACTTTACCAGACGGCTTAGAAACACACTCCGGGCGACGAGCGCTGCACCTTCTCCCGCGCTACTCGTCAGCTTCCGGATTATGAGTGTTATCGCACACATCAGCGAGCGATGTTCTTGGCTCGGCCGGCCTCTCCGCCCCGCTGTCCCTGGTCTCTGACTGAGCTGGTGATTCTGTCGGCCGGCGGCGGCTGGCGGGCCACGTGCTTCTGTCGCTTCAAAGGCGCCGCAGCACCCCACCCCCGCCGCCGCCGCCGCTGGTACCGCCGCGCTGCGCTCTGTCAACACGGGCCGCCCCAGAGGTGGCTGCACCGCGTCGGCTCGCGTCTCCCGGCGCCGAATTATGGCGCCGCACGCACTGTGCGTGTGTGCGTGCGGCGCGAGGCGCCTCGGGGCATCGACCGTCGGCACCGCTGCCGCCGGCGCCGCTGCTGCCCTCGCCTGGTCCGTTGCCGTCTTCGGCCCCGGCGCCGGGCGCGATGAGTGTCGGAGGAAAGGTGCCAGACGCGTTTGCCACGGCTTTCATTTATTCATCAAGAACACTTAGCTTCAACTTTACATATGCAATTCTGAAAGTGCTGGCTGCAACGGTTTATCTTTGATTTTAACAATTTTACGTTCTTCTCGTTCGCTCTAGTTTTTTCTCAGCACACAGAGGTTCTTTTTAGAACTACGTAAACTAAAAAAACCACAGGGTGTCTACACCCCAGGGACTGTGCGCCAGGGTAGCTGAAGCGATGTCTTGTTTACTGTACGTGTCGCTAGTTATTGGCGTTCTTTGATTGAAGTTCTCGGCACGTAGACCAGGCTCGTTTGTTATTACATTGCTGTTTTCGTCGGCGTTCCACAGCCACCCTGGAGTTGTTGACAGCTCAAAACTGCCGATATATTTCACCGCGGAGAATGCCGTGCATCCCAAGGGATATAGGCTGACCCAGTTACCGCTCACGATCTTTGCTGAGGCGGGATGCTCAAAATGAGGCGCCTATCTAGCGTGTAGGTGGTTGAAGAGCATTTTGGTCAGCCCACGCGATTATTTATCATGAGTTGCAAGGGTTCCTGATTAAGTGGAGACTCGTGACATACTAAGGATTTCTAGCATGGTTTGCATGTATTGTTGCTCGAACGCGCAAGACGTCTGTAATGGTGTCATTTGGTTATAAGTGGTCTAGGGAGGGTGTATGTATGTGACATTAAGGAGCAAAAACTGTTCCATTTAGAGTGCAGTCTTGCAACCTCTGGACAGGTGGAACTCTAGTGGAGCTTTTAGTAGAACGCAATGCAGCCCACTTCACATTTGCCGCTCGGGTGGAGCCTTTGTCGACATTAGGTCGCCGCTAACTTCTGTGCACTGTTAACAACGCGACATGCACATTGTTCTACAGTTCTTGAGGCCCTTGCATTGTGCCATATCAACCAAACCTTGACCTTTGATATGCCTAAGGCCAAGCCTAACTTTTGCTGGAACGACATTTCAAGTTTTCCAGAAACACTAATCAAAATTCTGGATGACGCCAGTCCGACATTACCGGCGCCGTCTGAAATGATCACCGCATTCCCTGAAGCGCCTCTGGACAGCAGAACGCTGATGTGCGACCTTTACCCCCTCCCTGTGATAACATCTGCAGCCAGAAATTGCATGGCGCTTTCCACGAATTTGAAATTCGCCGCGCCGGTCTCCGGATGGGTCGCCGAGGAATTCGCATCAATTAGCGATGTACACCGGTCGCCGGCGGCGGTCACAGAGGCCGAGCTGCAATGGACGGCGGCTGTCCGGTCCGTCCGACACAACCATCCGTCTCGGTCGGAGCGACTGCGAGCCGATTACACCCATCTGTCTTGCGTGGGTCCCGCCGGGCCGGTCAGCTCAGCCGGGGTGCCTCCGGGGCCGTCACTTCAACGACCGTCCGTCTCCTGCCGGGCCGGTCACTTCGCCGACCAGTGGCGTCCTGCAGACTGTCCTTTGCAGCGTGATTCAAACGCGACAGACGACAGCGGATGGGTCTGTCGCTTGTCTTTGACGACTGTCATTCTCTGCTTGGATATGTTGTCACTTATTTTGATTGTTTTCAAGGGAGCTGCTATTTCACGTGTCCATGTAAGGTGCCAGGCCTATATTTCAAGACAGCATACGAATAGGTATTTCAACTACCTGAGATGTTTGCAACAAATCGTCACTTACGTCGTATCATTTAATTCTAAGACTGACCTGTCATTTGTCTGCCATCTCATCCATATGCTTCTTCTCCTTTCATTTTCCACCTTATATTCCATGAAAACTCAATTAAAAGTTAAGAATAAATTTCACAACCCGTCGTTTCAGTCGCGATTTCCCCTGTTTCACGCAAACCGTCATCTCACTCTCTATTCCCTCTCCTTGCAGACAGCCATGACGTTTCGCTCGCAATGCCCTCTGTTTCAGATGGACCCGTCGTTTGACTCGCCATTTCCTCTGTTGTTTCAGACGGACCTGTCGTTTCACCTGCAGCAGCTGACAGAGCGCGCCAAGTCGGCCGCAGATTACATCCACCAGCTGAAGGGGCTCGCCGACGTGGTCACGGTACGTCCCCTATCCATAGTTCAGCCCCCTGCCGGTCAGTGGTGCGAGCTCCGCGGGCTCAGACACAGCCAATGTCACGCTTGCAAAGGTAGCAGCGAGCGTGAAGTTAATCGTGCCATCGGTGGGTTTTGTTCGGCTTCTGTATTACGCCATTCGCGTTATATTCGTTTTTTCTCTTGCCTTACCAATTAATTCCTTGACTTCGTCTTCTGTTCTGCTTTGCTCTCTTTTTTTCACTGAGATCAACTGTCCGGCTTTAAACAGCGACTGTCAACTCAACGAACTATAACGACGCGCTGTCTCGGCGAGGAAAACAATGTCAGTGTCATTTAAAAGTTCACTTCAGAAAATCAGCCGCCCGGCTGCAGCCGATGCCGCAGAGCGATTGGTAAAGATCCATCGCCCGGGAGACCCTGCAGAGCCCTGGCCGCCGACTGCCAAAGTTTGTTTTCAACAATCGAGTTTGACGGACGACGTCTCTGCGGCGGTCAGTGCTGTTGTGGGCTGGACATACTTCACAACAAATGGCTCTTGTGCCGTCAGCTGCACTGAGCTGAAATTAGCCTGAATGTATTGGGTCCTCGAGATAATTTGTGACTGAAAATAATGAGTGTCATTTTGCCGATCTTTTCTGCCTGCCGAGTGGGATAAACTGAATTTATTTTACGGCTGACCTGGCCCAGGCGGACACATCCCGAGGCCTGGAAGTCCCTTGCTCTGTGGGGCATAAAATTGCAGAGAAGGAATAGACGAACAAAATCTTTAAACCCAAGAAGCTTTTTATTTGTTTCTTTTTCTTATTATTGCTGAGAGGATGCGAAGTTAAATTGTATTTTCCATGGATGAAAAATATGTTACCCAAATATGTTACAGCTGAAAGATACATATGTCGTTTCCCCTCAACTGACCTGACCTCCCGGCTGCCTCTGACCTGACCTCCCGGCTGCCTCTGACCTGACCTGACCTCCCGGCTGACCTGACCTGACCGGGTGACCTGCTGTTCAGGACAACTGCGCCGAGTTCGAGGCCACGGTGTCTGAGCGGTGTGACGAGCTGATGGAGCTGATCCAGCAGAGGCGCCATCAGCTGATCCAGTACCTGCACAGCACGCGAGACGACAAGATCAGGAGCGTCAAACAGCAGGTCAGACCGACTGCTGATGGCTAGTCACTAGTCAGTGGAGAGTAATACATTAACAGACTGCTAGGTGAAATGGATTGAAAGCTACCGACGCAGCTGTTCCCTTCAGACGGTGATATGATAGCTTGAAAATAAATAGATTTCCCGTAATCGATGATTTATTAGCTATCGTAATTTAGTTGATTGCAGAAAAAACAATATCCGGTCCATGGCGGAGTTTATTGCTTTCTTACCTTCATAAGCCACACCTCCGACATTTGACTATCGCACATGACCTTTCATCGTTTTTGGCACCCAACAAACTCTACTTTTCTGTTCTGCAGGTGTCGCAGGCGACTGTTCGGCTTCAGCAAACGAACGGTCTTCTGATGTTCTGTATAGAGGCGCTCAAGGAGCGTGACGATAGCGCATTCCTGCAGGTGATTACCGAGTGACTGAGTGCCTGAGTGACTGAGTGCTGAGTGAATGAGTGACTGGGTACTAATTTGGTTTAATGCCGAGTGCTGAGTTGCGGAGCACACGACGGGTGGAAGGCTAAGGACTAGGGACGCAACGAGACCTGTCAAGCTGAAAACATCAGAATCAGTCGTAAAAGAAATGTGTTGAAAAATTCAGATTCATGTCATAGTAAGACATGCTGCATTCGAAACTAAAAATGTTTACAAATGCTGAAGCATTTGGAAAGCGATGTAAAGCCGCAATGAAGCCAATCCTCTCTGCACGCAACGTTCTTTCCATTGTCAACACATCTAATTCGTAAAAGAAATATAGCGAGTTTTATCTCTAAAGCAACCACAATCTAGAAACCACCTGACTGTTGTACAGACAACTGAATGCCGGGCACTGACACATAGTTAAACGCTAGCCAGACAGGTCAGAAGCGCGATGACTGGATAACATTGGAAGACGACACGGTGGTCAGCGATTTTTCTCACTTTCTCGTCATACTTTCACCGCGAAAGGTGGCCGACATGTCACAGTCTCATCACTTCAATCGATTTGCTGCTGTCTACCCGCACCCGCCCACCGACTTTTTTAGATTATTGTATTTACGTATCCCTGCCTACGCTTTCTGATCTTTGCGAATTGACGTCAGGTATTCGACCAGTGTTAATCGTTCGTTCGATGATTGAAAAAAGTGAAAATAGTTTAGATATGTCTGTTGTGAATGTCATGTGAAATCGTTAATGACCCGTATTCTCCGTCCCCTCAGATCAGCCAGATGCTGACCCACCGAGTGGCCTCGTATGACCTGATGTGGGGTCGTGACATCACCGACCAGTCAATCAACCCCGACCTGGACCTCAGTCTGGAAACGGACACCGTCCGCGCCGCCATCCAGCAGTTCAACTTCATCCAGATGAAACGTGAGTGTTGAAACGACCTCTCAGGAGTCAGAATTTGTCAGGATTGTCCTGAGAGTCACGAGAGTCTCCTGGGGGAGGTAGAAATGAGGATCCTCACCCCAGCGTATAATCGATCGGTCGATAGCGGTCACGTGGTGGGGTTATCGCCCGGCGATTGGTCAATGCCATGTCGTGCAGGTGATGTTTCCATTTCCGCTCGCCTACCAATTTCCTGCGGCTCATAAACCAGCTGGATCGGCTATGCGTCCCAAATCGGCCGTAAACTATGCGTCGATTATCGCTGTCCACTTTGCAGCAGCGGCCAATGGTCTTTGACTACGTCTCTTCGATCTCATGATTCTGATTTTTCATTTACTCAAACACCATGCCTCTAGACTTTTGACAATGCATAGCTAATTCACGTTGAGAAAATCCCATATGGTGCACAAAATCTCGCATTGAAAAGTGTTACAAGAAACGAAGGAAGTGGGGGGAGGGAAGATGCTTCTGGAGGGCATTGCCGACACGTGCTAACCGCTCACATAAATGCACCGTCACTATCGCCATCCGCTGGTGGTGGTCGGCATTGGTCCCCTTGCTCTCCTCCCCACCTCTGCAACGCGTGCCTGCCCTCTGCCCTGTGTTACATCATCGGGTAATGTTTCAAGATGTCAGGTAGCCATTTTGATAGGGAGCTGTCATTAAAAATACCTTTCTTTGTCTGCCGTAGCCTGCAAACCTGGAGAAAAACGACAGCCGGCAGGTAACTTGTCATCCCATGGCCGTCGCGGAGAATGATATGTGTTGTACCCGCTATACTGCTGTCTTTGTGTCCGCTTCCAACGCGTCAAAATACCGATTCTCACTTCCAATCCTTAATAAGCATGCTACAAAACAAAGTCGCGCCGGCGTACCAATAAAATGTTATTTTTGTCCCAACATGAAACGAACGGACGAAGCAAACAATGAATGGCAAGTGCATGACAAGCAATGCTAATAAGGCTCGAGTTTATGGCAATGTCGTTATCACCGATCTTTCATGACTCTGAGTTCCATATTTTAGTTTATTTAGGGTACCATACCTCATATACATTTGAAAGTACTTGATTTTATTATGAAATTAGAGTATGCCGAAAATTATTGATGTCTGCCTTAGATTGGTCTGGAATCCATGCATGACTTATTATGCTGAATTAAACGATTCATTTTTACCAAAATGTTAGTTATTTCAGGAGTCGAGTGTTTCATAAGATGATCCCATCCATGCCGACGTCTTCCAATATCCTTTTAGCTGGCGATATTACCCCAGAAATTAAACGTTTTGCGAATGATTCATTGAAGTGTTCGATTGTGCCACTCCGTGTAATATAAAGACAGTGATTATTTTAGATTAGTCATGAGTGGCTAGCTTTACTTCAGTTCGTTTCGTCTGGCTGCGACGCTGCAAGCCCTCATCATGCATTTAAAACAGAAGGTGCTTTTCGGAAATCCACAGATGCAGAAATTATCTTTCGTCATTCTGAATAAAAGTATAGGTCATTCTGCTGTTTAGCTCAATAGTTGATGCTTTGCATGCGAATGCCTCCCGTCGATTGTTTGTGCGTTGAAGCTCCTCGGTGCATGGCTTAAATGCATTATTTAGCTAAAAAGAGATACCGTGTGTTGTGAGCATAAGCGTCTCAACTTTAAAGGAAACATAGTTTGTTTGTCGTTGAATTTCTCGGGGCTACTTGATAAGTTAGTATGCAACAATAACTTTTGTTTTGTATAGATAATAGTCTTAGGTGTTACTGGAATTTATTCCTGTAGAGTGTAGATTTTACTGCGTGCCAAGAAATTTCACGAAGATATGTTTAATTTTGCTTAAGATTTCATTTCAGCCACCACATTGTGGTAACCGATTTTATTGTCTCTTTTTGGGTTATTCCATGTTTGCACCTGCACTAATAGAGTTTCTAAAACTCATCAATTCCATTGAGCCCAATATAATTGCTCCCAATGCCACGTCGAACCTGCCACCTGACTAGTGACTGGACGATCAAATATGCAGAACACCCATGATGGCCGATACAGGCGCGACAACCGCATAATACTTTTCACCGCCGCGAATATAAACTGTCGCTTGTTCTCTAATATACTCTGTTATAGCCTATCACTTATCACTTATTTTTTCTTTTCTTTTATCTCCTATGACCTTGTTTGCACCCTCAGTGGTGCTCAGAGGGATGACGGATGCCTCTGGGTGACCTGACCCCTGCCGTGACCCCGGTGTGACCCCTGCCGTGACCTGCAGCGCCGGGCCCGCCGACTCTCCTGGCTGAGGAGTGTACTGCGGAGAACAACCGCCTGCGACTCCGGTGGCGACCTCACCCCACCTCCCACCACGACGGCTTTATCGTGCAACTCAACGACGGCGTGGGGTTCCAGGTGGGTGAAGGGCTTAGCGTTAAGAGTCTACATAAGTTTCAGAACAGCTGAAAGTTAAGTGTATTCCTTTATGTTCTTGCTTCATTTTCTACATTTCGCTCTACCTACACATTTTTCACTATGGCTCACCAGTAAATACTGTCTTATCAGATATGGTCGGCCGTCGGATGACAATGCTCCACATAACCCTGTTTCCCAACAGCATTCTTACACAACCACAGTCCACAACCCTTGCCACCCCCACTCGACTGTTGTCCTCGGTTGGGGAAACCTTACCGACAGAGATTTGACCTCGAATACCCACGGTGACCTCGGGTCGACGGGCGTCCCCTCGGCGACCTCCACAGCCCCGAGGGCACTGCAGGTCGATATCTCCGTCGATGTCGATGACGGAACGACGACGCCGGAATGTTATGGCCAATTTCGCTGGTTACCTGGGCAACGCACATCACAAAACACACTTATGTGCGTCGGCTGTAGAAAATGTACAGTGCGACAGTGGTTTTACGTATTTTTAAAGATTGCTTCAGCAACGTCCAGCCTTAGATACTGAGGATGTGCGAACGCTGGTGAATACTGAATAGAACGTGACGGTCCCGCCGTCTGTGAGTGTGTTTGTGTGTCTGTGTGCTGGTGTGCGTGTATGCGTGTCTAATTGATTCGGCTGCGGCCATTTGTGCTCGCTCCTTTCGTCGTTTGTGTAACTGGGACACGGTAGTGGACCAGGCCATTCATCGGCCTCTCAATGGAACAAAGGCCTCAGACAAAGACAGAGAAGACCCCGCGGCCAAACAATGAATTCTTGATAGAAACGGAGCGGAAAGGTGGAACGTCGTAAATTCGCGAGTGCGTGTCCTCGGTCATGTTATAAATCTTGGGCTACTCCGGTAGATCAACTTAAATACGTAATGCCACTTTTCACGTCATTCCGCTTTAGTTTGGCAAAGTTGATCTGAAGTAGTAGTGGAAATGTTCTCAGTTTTATAAATGCATGGCACCTATAAAACTGAAAGCCACATAGGTAATCCTATTTTCGAAGCGGTGGCTTTTGGACAAAGGGCAAACTTAGGATGCACCTATACGACTTTTCGCTAAGCCCTGGTGAGTTATGAGGGCATGAGCGCTGGACATCGGTTGCACAGGTAGCTCGCACAGCAAACTGGTTGCAGCTCTGTCGTCATCACCCTCGTCGTTTACCAACTAAAAAATCTGCTGGTCGCGGCTCCAGCGAACACGTTCTGCAGGCTGCTGTCACACCTGACCTCGGTGTCCGACACGAAAAACTCGGCCGATTCTGATCGATGAGTGCTGCTGTGCTGCGGCCGCTCCTTTCTGCACGACGCTAACCGCCCTCGGTCAGCGGTGTCATTAGTTAGGTGCCGACCGGCAGCCTCACTCTCCCACCTCCATCCCTCCGCGGCGACAAGGTACAGACGGCTGTTATCTGCGCAGAGAACAGTGGCCACCGGTCCGCACCGTCTTGTCGCCGTCGGTCAGCGGCGAGCCGGCCATCAACTCTGGCCGTCGGCCACCGTCCCATATAGCCGCCACCGTCGAGGAGCGCCGTCGGAGCTCGCACTGAGAAAACAGTGTCCCGATTTTCGGGCTCAGAGACCAGTTTTCGGGCTAATGTACCATATTCAAAACAGACAGCACATTTCGAGAATACTTTCTGAGCTAGCGCCACATGGGCTCATACGATCCCTTAAATCGGTATCATTGATCGCAGAAACAGAGCTCAGTCAGTACCCATTATCGGTGTCAAGCTCTAAAACTAGTCTCACTATGATACCAGTTTTCAGCCTGATCCCCATTTTCGAGCTCACCTGATTCCAGTTTGAGGGCTCAAATTGTGTGGTGAAGCCAATATTAGGGCTCACGTCATCGCTTTTCGGGGCTTTGGTAAAAGCTGGATTGCGTCAGCTGGCTGGCCAGCTGGCGACGCACGAAAGGTATTTAATTTTAGACTTACCTAAGCGCGGTAGTAGGATGGACATAAATATTTCAAATGGCTTTAAATGAAAAATTGATTGGTAAATATTCATTCTTTTATATCTAGCATTGATATGTAAGAAGCTCTGCTAGCGCCACCATACGGCGCCAGCTGGCAAAAAATCCAGTTAATACCAGAGCCCGCTTTTCGTCCGATGCAGCCCCTCCTCCCCCCTCCCCCGTGTCCAGCAGCTGCGAATAAGACGAAGCCGCGGACAAACTTTTTTTTTGCTCGGCCAGCCTAGCGCCAGTCTCGAGCGGTGGGACAGTTGACCGGCAATTTTGGCCGGGATGCAAAAGTTACGTTAAACCGGTTTATGTTAACCCGGGAGCAAATAACAACGTGGGAGCCTATCTTAGGTGTGGCAAAGCTAACGGATTACTTACTTGTTGCCGAGGTGCCCAAAGAAGGTACTGGAACCGAAAACACAACATTGGTTCATGTATTTATTAACATTCATACACACAGTCATACTTGTGCAAGGTGTCAGTGTTCGGTTGTGGGGTGTAATAGCCAGGGAAAAAGTTCTATGAACTGAAAAACCCGGCGCCTATTACTTCGCAACATGGTTGTATATTCAACATGAACTGCAAGGAGTGCAGACGACATTGCCTGTGCTAACTTAACGTCTCACGGGCAGCGCCGCGCTCTGACACCTTGGTCCCAGAAGCGGCGGCGTTTCTGACCGCAAATCGCCGGAGAGCCGGTCGACGCCGTTGAGGGGACTGAGCAGGCCGCTGCCAGCTCCACCTTCACGTCCGTGCGGCGCAGCTCGGTGTGCGGCGGCGGCTCATCGCGCGGGCCGCACCCGTCCGTCCGCTGCACGAGCCGCTTTTCGATCCGACAGCGCAACACCGGCACGCCATTGTGCTGGCTGAGCGGCGGCAGCGGCACGTAGGCAACAAAACAGTAGAAATCGATGGGCCTGGATCGGCGTTGCCAGCAACGCCGGCAGCGGCGCGGCGGGAGGCGCCAGTGCCGCCGTCGGGGACGTGTGCCCTTCGCTGCGCTCATTCGAGTTGGCCGGCCGGCCGCGCGGCGTAGTCCTTTTGACACGGTGCGAGAAGAGCCGGATGAAGGTGGACTTTTTATTGGCGTTGCTGGTGCTCACGCCGCCGGCGTCCAGTTTGGGCGGCAAGTCCGAGTACCAGGAGTCGGACAAGTCCCGCGCGAACGCCGCCAGCCGGTCGTCGTCACTGCTGGCGGCGGCCCGCCGACGGCGCTGCCTCAGAATCGGACGAGTCGGTGGTACTGAGCACCTCGCGGGACGGGTAGCTGGGAGTGGGCCGGCCGCGGCCCCTGCCAGGCCGCGCCACCTTCACCGGCGCAGCCGCCTTCAAACTGCCCTTGCTGGGCGGCGGGTTGGTCGGCGGAGGCGGCAGCGGTGCCTCGACGTCAGTCCGAGTCGCTGTCACTGGGCGGCCGCCGCGGAGACGGCTTCTGTTTGACCCGCAGCCGGCCTGGGCCGGCTCGGCGCCCTCGGCCGGCGGCGCGCGCCGTTTCGAGCGTTTCACCTTTTCACTGTTACTCTCGCCTGGTCCTCAGCGTCGAGCGGCTCGGCGCTGTTCGGTTTCATGTGGCCCATGCTGCTGGGAAACTCGGGTGGGGACAGCTTTCTGACTGGAGTGCCGTCGAAGATGGAGGAGACGGGGGTGCTCGCAGAGTCCTTGCCCAATGCCCATGATAGAGCCGAGGCTCCACTGGACGCCCAGCTTAATCGGGCTATCGCCGCCCTCCTTCTATGGTGGATTCTTCGGCCCCCTACAGCCACTAGGGCCATCATATACTCCCAGATGGCGGCACCTAGGGGATGAGGGGGGGGGGGGGTGTGTCTGGGCCACTTGTCCACCTCGTGGCGTCGCCAGCGACGCCTGCGAGTCGGAGCAAATGATTATGGGGTCTTCCTCGAAGGACGGGTGCTTCAGGAGATGTTGCTTTGCCGTTTTGGGCGCCACCATCTCAGATCGGTAAATGGAGCAAATCCTCCCCGCCGCCTCCCGCAGTACCAATGTTGTACTGTCTGGGTGCTCGGTGAGGACCCCAGCGCCGCCTTCCTATTACTCCCCCGGTCGCAGACCCGTCGACCCAGGCCCACGTCGCACGCTGGGGGAGCGCTCCCAGTCACGCCTCCGCAGCACTCCTCCTCGCTGTCGCGGACGCCCCGATCGGCAGCAGGTCCAGGTGGACCGTGACGCCGTCTGTTGGCGTCTACGGGGGCAGTCTCGTGGATAAGCGCGCCTCGGCGGGCAGCGCCACTCCAGTGGTCCCACACCGCTCCCCCGCGCTCTCTCCAGCCGGTCACTGACTTCAGTCACGGTTGGGGGGGGGGGCTTCCGCCACGACGCGGCGGGTCCTCCGACGGGAGGGAGAGCGCCTTCGCCAGTAGGCGCGATGCCAGCGCATCCCTCCTCATCTCTCCATCGGCACGACGCCCGCCTCGGCCCTCACGGCGAGTCTTGGAGCATGGAAATCGGGCAGCCAGTGATGACTCATGCCACCATCAGCATCTCCGCCTCCAGGACGCCAAGATGTGTGGCCGCAGCCGCAGGCAGCCACGCCGACCCCGCTGCCCGCATGCCCAAGTAGTCTCGAATCGCTGACACCTCTCCTGAAACAAGAGTGGTGTCGTAAACTTAAACCCCTTGCTGGAGCCCGCCAGCCGCGACAACACCGCCACACCAATTTTTGTGACCCCGGAACTTCCGTCCCGAGCCTTATTTCACGGCACGATGCTACAGTGCGCTACACGTATTGTGGTATTCAGCTTCCATGGAAACATCAACTAATTTGGACGCTCAAACATGGGAGTCAGGAGTGGTTAAGGCCCAGAGCGTTCTGTCTGGTTTATAAAACCTTGGCCAGCAGATGTAAAGTGCTTTTTGTATAAGTGGCTTAATTTTGACGCAAAAGGGCACTAACCTTCGGCGCAAATAATGCAGAAATTTCAGCGCAAATTGCAAAATAGCTTGCGCCGAACTTCGGCGCATGACGGCTTCACGGGCGTCCGGCGTACCATATGGATGTTTTCCAGTTTGGGCTGCAGGTTTTAGCTCTAGGTTTTAGACTGTAGGTTTTGGGTTGGGTTGGGCTGGGCTGGGCTGGTTGGGGTGGTTGGGTTGGGTTGGATTAGGTTAGGTAAGTTTAGGTTAGTTTAGTTTAGGATAGATATGAATACCTATTTTTTGTAAGTTGAATTATTTTTTTCATTTTGTAGCATCATATGCCTTCCATCTTTGAACTGCCATATTCAAGCACCAGAATAAGTATGGACTTGAACCTTTTCCAGTCTGGATGCCTGTATGGAAGTTGTGCAAAATCATGCAGTTGAAGGTATTGTAACCACAAATAAGAGCTCATGACTCAAGTCTCAACTTGTCCATAATTGGTTATCTTGATGTATACTTGTAGACCCTTCCTCTTACTTGGCACACAGGCATGGTGTCACAGTGTTCTAAAATTGGATTTCAATTGGGTGTCCCAATAAAAAAAATCTGAAGACAAAATGAGATAGATTTAGTCTTTCCGCAAAACTGCATAATGCCATTTTTACCTCAGATTTTGTCAGAACCTTCACAGGATCTGAAATGAAATGATGTAGAGTAGATGCATCAACTGTCAAGTCATGCGTAACCTGGCAGCTGGCTGTTGAATCAAACTTTTGACATTTTTTTTTAGCAAAGATGAAATAAAGCCACTTGTCATATTTTTAGGATGAAAACATTTTCCCCATCATGTGTGGTTATTCACCTAAAATTCTGAAACATGGAACACTGTCATACCAGCATTCCATCATGTCAACCAGCATTCCGCAGCATGTTAGCAGAAGCAGCAGCATGTTATAAGTATATGAAAGATCCAAATAGGTTGTAGGTTGGTAGGTATTGGTACTAAGTTTAACTTAATAGGTTAGTAGGCAAGGTTAGGATTAATTTTAGTTGAGCATCAAGATAACCATTACGAACAAGTAACAAAATCCTTACCTACCCTTGAAAGCATTGCTTCAATCACATCATCACGAAGAACCAGACAAAATTTTTGCACATTCTTACACTATTTGACATCCTGAATCCAGATATGATGCTTTCATGTGGCGCAAATACAAGAAAAACGAATAATTAAACCCGTGCGTATTCGTATCAACGGCGCCACAAATGTAGATCAGACCTTTTCTGAACAAATGCCACCACAATTTTAATTGATAAGGGATTAAAATGGCATGAGCATCAACATCTTGATTTTTTCTCAAAGATAGCGATAACTGATAACTAATAACTTACCATTCATTTTGAAATCACGGCGGTAGGTACACCAACACATGGCACTGAAAACAGCAAAAGACGGAATGGCGGAATGTCGTATGGAGCCCTAAAACGCAGCTCGAATTGAGCCCGAAAAGGAAGACGAACTGATGCCGCTTTCGGGGCTAATGTACTTTGAGCCCGAAAAGGGCGCCTAACTGATCCCGATTTTAAAATCATACAGATTTGAGCCCTGTTTTGGCACTCATATGAGCCCTTATTCAAAAATGTTCTCAAAGTGTTTTCTGAGTGCGCGAGTAGCGACCGGGCCGACTTTTGCCGAATAGCTGAAACGGCGAGTTGGTAGAATTGGGTCCAACCGGGGTCACATTGGTTTGGCTCGGATCGCCCGCTGAAATCGCGTAACTTGCCGCCCATGGCAGATCGGTATTGGACGGCGCTCGGCCACCAACTAGCATTCAGCCCGGGGATTCGGAGCTCCATATCACCAGCGGCCCTCATTGTGAATTCGATGACGTCACCGGTTTAATAGAACTGCCGCGGTCCATTCAAGGACTTGGCATTCTACCCAAACTTTGACATCTCCCATTGTCTTAACTCCTCTTTGTGGGAGTCTCGAGAAACGAAGTCACGACACCCGTCCAAATTCTTCTGAGAGTATGATATAATTCATTCATCACGCACCACCCACTCACCCCTCCCCTCCCTCCAACCCACACCTCTCCAGCACCCCTTGATGAATGATCCGTCCCGCTACCGGTCCGACACGACCCACACAAAGCAACAGAGCTCGGCTGACCTGTTGCCCTGGGACAATCCTCGACTAATGATCCCTGCTCGTCAGGGAGCCTGACGGTGATGGTCCGTTGTCACTCAGTGGGGGCGTGACACAGCCCACGCAGGTGACCTGTGATCGACGCACGGTGGACTGTAGGGCTGTCCGAGTGCGTGGGCGACGTGCGTGAGGAGCGTGAGGGGGCTGCGTGAAGTGTGCAGGACGCTGGAGGGACGTGAGGGGACGTGAGGGGGTGTGTGCAGGATGTGAGGGATGGACGTGAGGAGGACAAGTGTGCATGGTGTAGCTGCAGTTCGTGAGGCAGAGATCACGGGGGCACAGTCGCTGAAGAAAAAAGAGCAGGTTGAATTGAAATGGCACGGCACGGTGGCCATTGAAATTTGAAATTGCCTGACATACGTGCTGGTGTGTACCGTGTAATGCTTGAACAACTCGAGTGCGGTCAAAAATGATTATCTAGCTCTCAGCCTCTCAGAATTGCGTTTCAGCTGTCGCATATCGCATATAGGATACGGCATATGCGTATAATAGTCGTACTTCAGAGCTATGTACTGTGGCCGCCAACTGACTGGCCGAATATGTTGGCTCATCTGCGTATCCAACTGTGAGTCACAGTATGATGAGAAGAACCCCAGCAATATGGGGTAGCGGCGCAGTGACTATATGAACCAGCCGTCGCTTCGTCTTCCCACCGTTCGCTCCTGTGGCGGCTCGAGTAAACTGTTTGTTCCCGAGGACAGATGGGGCACGCCAGCGGCGCCGGTGTTTATAGCGCTCCGTGCTGCCGTGCCACTGCAGCGCACAGACCCGGTGCGAACAAAGCCCAGTCCCCTCGGGAGAAAATGTAACCGTCTCGAAAATCACCGCCGTGTTTTCTTCCGCTCGGGATGAGCTTTACTCGAGCTCGCGGGGCAGTGGTGTGTCTGAAATGATTTGTTTAATGGGTTCTTACTCGCCTATCTCGTGCTGAAATGGATGGTTTGTAAGTTTACGAAGGAACAAAACACCCACAATCTCGGTTCTATTTGTAGTATGCGTGTCCCCCTCTTCCATAATTTGCATATTTCATCTGCACGTATCTTCGCTTCGCCTTTCCATTTAGCATCCTCTCCCTCTTTTTCCGAGCCCGGTGACAGTTCCGTTCTGGGTCGTTTTTTTCCTCTATCTGCTTTCCGTCTCTCCCATTTCACCCCGTCTCCCATCCCTGAAGCTCCGCTCTCCAGCCTTATCCAGAGCGCCCCTCCAGCCGCGCGGGGCTGCCGCTCGTGCGACCCGCTCCCGTGCCGAGGGTCGTTTCAGTCGGCGATTTCGGCCGCCATTTCCTGCCGTCGGCGTCGACGCAGGCGAGAATCACCGCCGCACCGTTTCAACGATTCCGGGGAGAAAATTACGGCGGCGCTAAATTCCGGCGTGCGTTGATGAGCGGCCAGCGCCCCTTTTCCCCTCTAGCACTGAAAGAAACATGGCCGCCTCTTTGCCTGCCCCTCACAGGCCTCTGTCCATCCCCAGTCCGACCTTGCGACGGCAGTGATTTCTGGCGGCCACCCGGCGCGTTCAGCCACTTTAGCAGATTGATTACATAACAGCCAATAGCTTCTGCGGCTATTGACTCAGTATTTCGGGCGTGCTGATCGATTTCGATAGCCGACAATCGCCAGGCATCTGGTGTGGTCGCTACTGTGCGGGCTGGACGGCAGCTGCGTGTAATCCTCTGCTGCTATAGTCGTCCCGTGTTACCAGAGACCACACCGCTGACCAGCTGCCGGTTTGCACGGGTTATTATACCCCTCCCCATCCCACTCCCCAGCCCACTCTCTGTCCCATGGACAGACGAGCCGGACCGCTTACATGTAGTACAGGCGGAACATTCGGTACTGCAGTGGTTAATGTGAGTTATCGGATGTTTGGTACCGCTCAGACATGTCCAACACAGGTGATAGCCGGCGGGCGGCGAAAGAATGGCGCCGTTATCGACAACACGGCCACTGAAATACTGTTTCTCCAGACAGTGCGTTTTTTTATACAGCCACATCTTGTAATGTACTGCTGAGCCGAATGTCCAAAGAACAGATGTCACCCGACAGGCCTGTTGGGAAAATGTGCCGACTGAGATACACCTGGCTACTGTCCAGTGTCTAATACGAATCGACTCTATCTTTTCTATTCACTTATTGCGAAATATCTGTTTGATCCTTGGGAATTTCAGTTGATTGTTGGGGGCAAATACCTAGACCAACACTCGAAACAGTCTCGGGATCTGTACTGATTCGTAGCTAATGCATTAGTTCTGTCCTCGTTTTCATTAGACATGGGAACTTCTTGGAAACACCAACAAAAGCGGCATCCAGTGCTGTAATCGCTCCTGTTTTCGCTGTGGTTATTGCTTGCCTTTATAAATCTAGTTCAGAAGGATGCTGGTGCCATTTCGTATTAGGTGTGGCATTTCATTTGAATATGTTTTCGCTATCCCGAAAACAATTGTGATGAAAAGCTACGCAAGTTGTAGGTAACCGAACATCGGTCTGTGCACTGGGGTACATACGGGCCCTGACCACGATTCGCCCCCTGTTCCGACAGGATGCCTACTGCGGACGGGAGGCGCACTGTCTCATCACCGGACTCCACTTCAACACACGCTACAAGTGCCGCGTGAAGGGATACAATAGTACCGGTGACGGTCCGCCCAGCGACGCCGTTAGTTTGAGAACCACCGACGGTGAGTGCCCAGTGACGATATCAGTTTGAGAACCACCGACGGTGAGTGCCCCGAGCCGGTCAGTCCCCGTTGACGTCACCTCTGACGTCATTGGGGGTTTCAGCGGGCGATGTTATGGATGCCACTCGGTCCCTATAGCTTCGTTAGAGAGAGGAATGTGACGTTTGTCTCGCACAAATGGAGCGATTAATGAGAAAGGGGTGACGTAAGTTTGGAAGGATATCAACTAATCAGTAGGCAGTCGACTTTAATTTGTGACGCAAGTGGTGATAAGGCTAAAGGCTAAAGAGGATGGACAGTGGACGGGAGTAGCGTCGTCCTATGCATTGTCAATAATGTAGGTGTTTTATAGCAATAATCAACCTAAACGGTTTCATCAACGATGGCGACACACCATGTTATTAAAGGTCATGGGAGCGTGGTCTTTGTGCATGATCGGATTTATTAGCGCGAGGATTCAGCACGATGTAACGCACATACCTACCGAATGTACTTTTCCGCATGACCGACTTTACAGCAATGCTCCGTTCATGTAACACTTATCCTGACAGTGAAACACTTCAATCTGCATTTGTACAGCCCTATAGCATCACGGCATTGCAACGACTGCTATCAGCGAAACTTTGCACCTCTCATCTGTCATGTGCGGGTCGCGATGCGCTCTGAGGCCAGCAACTCCTAAACTCACCCCACCAGACATCCTTATCTTCTGCATCTGTCTCGAATCGCTGTCTGCAGTGAAGCACCTACAAGTTACAACACCTGCAGAGCTGCCTCCCCCTCCCATCTGCAGTCCCGTTGAGCCCTCCCCCCTCGGATGACACCCATTCAGCGGTATCTACCTGCCTGCCATTCAGCGGGCCACAGATGGTCATCGTTAGCTGTCCACTGAAAATAACCACCATTGATTGTGCACCTTGCGCCGTACCTGTGCAATGCATTGTGCACGCCATAGTGCACCAGCATTGTGCACAGGCATTGTGCAGTGCACGGACGACGCCGTGTCATGGCGCAGCTCGGATTGTGCGGCGGCTGAGACGTGCTGTGAGTGGTTTATTATAGGGGCAGTTGGCACCGAGGAGATAATTTTCGGACCGTAATATGCATAGCATTCACTGGGCTGAGCGTCCTGTAAAATATTAAACGGTCGTCGGTCGTGTTCAGATAGGTATGCATTCGTATGTAAACTGCAAATGTTATAGATATACATTCATTTAAAGATAAGCTGCATACTGCATGCATCAACCGGAGCTCAAATCTTCATTAGGTACATTGTTTGTTATTATGACAATAATATTTTATTATTTTATCTTTAGGCATTTATAGGCTATTGTCTACGTAAAATAAACGTGAGCTCCTACAACGTGTTCGTGCTAATTTACATTTACTAAAACTGTAAAAAAAAAAAAATGTAACAGAATTAGACGCGATGGAGTCCATTATTTGGGCATCAGCGCTACTCTGTCCCGGCCGAAAAGCAGCTGAATGCTGAATGCTGAATTTGCCGCCACCGTTTCCGCCACCGCTCTTCACGGCTCATTTACTGTCTAAGGTCGATGTTTATGGACTGATCTCTCCCTCCCTCCCTCCCTCCCTCCCTCCCTCCCTCTCTCTCTCTCTCTCCCTCTCTCTCTCTCTCTCTCTCTCTCTCTCTCTCTCTCTCTCTCTCTCTCTCTCTCTCTCTCTCTCTCTCTCTCTCTCTCTCTCTTCACTTCTTTTCTTCCACACGCACTCATATACCCTGAGCGCGCACACAAACACAAGCTCAGCAGGCATCGCCACCAATCACAGGCCAACTTCTATGAATAGGGTCCGAGGGGCCCCGAATAGACGGCTGACGGGGGGGGGGGCAGGGGGAGCTGCACGTGGGATGGGAGGGGGGAGGTGGAGTGAGGACGGATGAAAGAGGAGGGCGACGACGAGGAATAATAATAAGAGGGATGTGGAGAATGAGAGAGGCGAGAGCAGAAAATTGTACCATGCTCGTTTATGCATGCCAAAACGGTGGATCGAAAAGCATGTCATTAAGGACACGTTTGACGGTATAACTGCCTATTAGATGTAGCATATTTATATTTCAGCGGTAAGGATGCGGAACTGAGTATCAAAGGGTTCTCAAGTAACTCATTAGAGTTTATATCCATTTCGGACCAATCTAGGACTTTTATAACGTTTACTTCCGTAATGCATTCTGGAGCAGCGGTCTTGAACGACGAGCCTCTCCCTTCTCCTGAATAGCCGCTTAGACACGTCTAAAAAGCTAATCGAAACATGTTTATGCATTTTACCTCGCCTGGAGTTCTGGTAATTTGATACATCAGGGTTAGATGGGGGTCACATCAACCCGTGCTTATGCATTCATAAGCGTACTTTAATATTTTAAATATTTGAAGCACAATGTAGGTATCATACACGTGCGGCAATTTACAGGCAACGCGACTCTATTTGCCAGTGATTTTAAACGGCGACAAGTGTTGACCATTGCCAGCCTTTCTGCCCTATAATGTCCAGGCCACAAAGCTTAGCATTCTGTTGACTGAATATTATCGAAGCTGTCTAGCATAATTCAATGTCAAATACAAAGGTCAAAGCCCATTTTTGAACAAAGAACCATGGGAGCTGAATCCCACGCCAACCCCAACCCCAGCGCGGATGGCGGTAACAGACCACTGCACTCGGTAAAAACGCCGGGGGGAAGGGGGCTCTTGAGTGACATTGCCTGCTCCCATTCGCCCCCTTCACTTCCCCTCCCTCCAGGGGAGCCGACTGTAAAAACGGGGGCGAAACAAAAGCGGTAATGGACCGAGTCGGTGGCAGCGGTGGCGACTGGGGGATCCAGACGGGGGATACAGCCGCCACCGCCGTTCTCTGCGGGATGACTCAGAGTCGACAGGGGCCCAAAGAAGTGACGGAAACCGATTACGCGATTATGATTTTTGCGCGCTCTCGTTGCGGAACCTATCAACAGAAGACGATGAGTTATGGTCGCCTACTGACGTGCACTCTCAGAGGTACACACACAAAGCCGCCATATCTTCTGTTTGTTTACGAGCGAACTTCCGGGAACGTGCGGCGTTCCGGGAAGCTTTCAATGATTGCCCGTATTCCTGGGTATTTCCCTACTGCGCTCTAGAGACTCAGATTCTACATGCACGGGTAGTCGCTCCTTAGTTGATAGTAGTTTTCTGCTTGATTCTGGGTCGAATCACTCTGCGCTCACCTCAACTGGGTCCCCTCACATGTCCCACTGCACTCAGCTTCCGTGTCATTTGCAGCATCCTGCGGCGGCTTCCGGCAGGGGATGTCGGCTGCAAACACTAGAGCAGTTGAGACGGTAGCTGCAGCAGCAGACAATAGACAGACAGACAGATAGACAGACAGACAGACAGACAGACAGACAGACAGACAGACAGACAGACAGACAGACAGACAGACAGACAGACAGACAGACAGACAGACAGACAGACAGACAGACAGGCAGACAGACAGACAGACAGACAGACCGGCAGACAGACAGACAGACCGGCAGACAGGCAGACAGACAGACAGACAGACAGACAGACAGACAGACAGACAGACAGACAGACGGTCGCTCAGCGGTTCGGTGCAGCGGCGCGGCCCTCCCAGACCATGTCGCCGCTGCCAATAAAGCGACGCCCCTGTAAATGGGGACAGATTGTGCGTTGCCAGTCGGCATGCAGATGAGACTCCCGGGCGGGGGTGGGGGCGGGGGCGGGGGCGGGGGCGGCTGGTGCCCGGCCAGGAGAGGAGGGAGCGCGCCGCTCGCGCAGTGCTGTGATCCATATTGATGGTGCCAACGTGCCTGGCGCGGACAAAGACGTCTGCCCACGCAGATTGCTGGTCAGACGTGCGAGTCGGGGGGAGACGGGCAGCGGTATAAGAGGGGCCCCGAGCGCGACGACGAATTCTGTCGGGGTTCGTCGGTAATTGGCCAGGGGTGACCCAGCCCGTGACCGATGAGTCATTGACATAACGGGGAAAGAGAAGCGCTAAGGGACGATTTCTAGTCGTAAAATTCAATCGTAAATAGTGCTACATAACTTCCGGTGAAGTACCGTCAATCGTTGATCAACGCTTTCGTTCACTGTATGCCATAAATTGATAAATCATCGATGTGCCTCCCCCCCCCCCCCCCCTGTGCTGTGACCTCTCCATCCCCGTGTATTCTGACCTCCCAACTTTGACCCTTTTGTGGTCTGACCTGCCCGGCCCTTCATGTTCAGACCGCCCCTCTTTTCCTATTTTAGCCTTCCTTCTCCTCTATACTCTAATCCCTGTGTTCTTACCTCTGTGCTTTGACCTCCCATCTATGTTCTGAACTCCCGCTGTGTTCTGGTCTCTATGTTCTAATCTCCCCGCCCCCTTTGCGTCTTGACCTCCCCTTTTCCCTACGCTCTGACCCCTGTGCTCTTATCTCTGTCCTCTGACCTTCCCCATGCATTCTGACCTCCCCCTCTCTCTCTCCTCGACAGTGGCGTGGTTCACGTTCGACCCCTCCGGCCGGCACCCGGACGTGTCTCTGTCCCGGGACAACAGCAGCGCCACCTGTGACTCGTTCGAGAGCAGGGTGGCGCTGGCGTCGGTCGGCTTCTCGCGCGGCACGCACTACTGGGAGTTCTCCGTGGACAAGTTCGACGGCAACGCCGACCCGGCATTCGGCATGGCCAGGGCCGGCGTCAGCAGGGACTGCATGCTCGGTGAGACTTGGGGGATGGAATGATTGGAACGATTGGATGAGTGACGAGGGTGACGATTGTCGATTATACGGACTACGCAGTAAATAATGTTTATGTTTTGTGTGAGGTAGATCAATTGTTTTATCATTTTTTGTCGTCATCGAAAGAAGTATTTCGTCTAATGAAAGTTATATATCAATAGGATCAATTTATTCACCCCTTGAGTCTAATAACTTCCTAGTTGTGAACCAACTGCCCTGTGTAATTTTGTTACATAGCTCTCGGCAGTTATTACCTAACTCATTCCGTTTTAATCCGACACATTTTAACATCCGCCCTATTTTATTTCAGGCAAGGACAACAAGGGCTGGAGCATGTACATTGACGGCAAGCGCTCGTGGTTGATGCACCAGGACATCCACTCAGGCAGGGCCGAGGGCGGCATCAAGGCGGGTGACACGGTCGGCATCTTGCTGAACCTCACCGCGCAGAAGCTGACCTTTTACATAAACGACGTCGTGCAGGTGCGCATTTCGACATATTCTCTTTGTAGTTAGACGAGCGACTCATGTGTCGTTACTCAGAAAACTAGGCGTACGGAATGCATTTCAATCTTTATAGTTTTTTGTGACGCATATATAAGGTCACTGATGTTATTCAACTCGACTTCTGCACATATTTCAGGGCCGGATAGACTTTGGCGGGCTGCAGGGCACCTTCTATCCAGCAGTGAGTCTGAATCGTAACGTGGCGGTGACGCTACACACGGCACTGGAGCCGCCGGTGGGTGCCGACTGCTGAGGGGTCTCTAATGTCGCCTATCACTGAGGATCCACCTAGCTGAGTGGACATCACCGTTGTGGCAGCGCCTATACCTGTCACCGTTGGAACCTGCGGACTCGAGTGTGCTGAGCTCACCGACACAACAGCTAGGGAAGGCACAGTGAGGTACTCTACTCAGAGTCGAGATCGAGAACAATCAGACCGGTCTGTGTGAACTGTGTGTACTCAATGGTGGCAGGCTGGTGTAGCCGTGGGGCTCAGTCCAGTGATCTCGAACGGACCAGACCCTGAAGAGCAGTCAGATTGCGGACTCGGAGTCCGACAATGGATTGTGTTCTTTTTGCTGAAATGCAGTCAGACCTCAGAGTCACTGATGAGTTATTTGTCTGTCTCAGAAGTCACACTCACTGCTTGTCACATGGACAAGGCCGTTATTGGAGCGCTGAGGCCGTCACTGCCGATTGTGCTGCCACCTGCAACTGGCGGAAGCTGCCATGTGTACTATAAGTGACGCTGGTGTCAGTGTGCGGTACCTGAACTGTCGACTGCCGAGGACCGCGGGCGCTTTGGGGAGAGGTCCTTTGGCGTGCGCAGTCGTTCCTAATCCGTGTCACTGGTCGTGACAGTCACTGTGGGCTGAAATGTGTTCTGGGAGGCTGCTTAAACCTAGGTGAGTTATTGTTTCATGTGTGTCTAGGTTCAAAGATGGGACTAATGAAACGTTATTGTTGCCGAGATTATGTTCTAAACATTTCAGTCAATAATATACTCTTTGCTGAATGAACTGAGTAACATTTTAGCTGCTGCTTCGATGCAGTTGCAGTACAATGTCACCTTACATTAATGCTGAAGAGTCTCTTACGTCAAACAGTAGTGCGTAGTTTCCACAAAACACCACGCAGAACACTTCTAAATTTACAGGTGACAAAATCAGAGCGGCATATTGTCGGCTAGCTCATGTGTACGTGCTTTTGGTATTTGTACCATTTACTGCGCTCGGATTTTACCATGTGGGAAGGGCTTTGTGTCGGGAAAATCGTACATACATAGATGGGTAGATAGGTTTCTATGATAGCTGTAGAGGTAGTGTATTCTCGCATTTTACCTACATGCTGGTAAATGCAGTGTTATCGAACTGTAAGGCGAGCTTCGTATGTATGATGTTGTTTATGATGGTGACATCATTTTACATGTTTGCGGCAGTTTGTTTTATTCAGTGGTAAAATCAGTTAGGTGAGACACGACACGGTTGATATTTGCCGACAGCTGTCTTGCCTAATTTATGTCTTTATTTACAACACATGGCTCTGAAAATCACTACACTTTAGCCTCATGCCACGAATATGGTTACGCCTCTCCGTATGGCCCTGGTTCTTTATATGTATGATCTAGTCAGCTGTGTGGCTTACAGAAACTTTGCCACGCCCCCCTCAGTGTTTGGCTGGCTGCCGTGAGGTCCCCCCTGTGTCACAAACCGGCACATTCGTGCATATGCTGTACATTGGCGCGCATGTCCTGTTCATATCAGTGTGTGCTCTCGGCGACTGGCGAGTGACTGTTGAGGGGGGGGGGGCTGAGTGGGGTGAGAGGGCTTATGGCGCTGATTGAAGTGTGGGTGAGATCCTTGAGCTGTGTACCAGAGCTCAGAACCCTGAGCGGTGTATGTGTGTATGCGATGGTCGCGATCCTTTTATACAATACACAGGACTAACGGAGTCGTCTGAGCTGTTGGATCACGCGATACTTGTCTGCTCCGGACCGTACAGCCCTTCCAAGTTTCTGACCTCCAGAGAAGTTTTCTCTTTCTCGACCGCAAAAGACGGTGGCAATGACAGCACGGTTTTGTTTGTTTGTTTGTTTTGTTGGGTTAGGCCCTTTCGGTCGACAAGACCATTGCAGAGCCGGAAGGATGATAGGAATTAGGGGGAGACATTGGTCTGGGCAGGCACCCTAGTGAGTCGCCGGGGCTGAGCCCGTCCAGAGGACAGGCCACCCAGCCCCAAGGCACTCACTGCACCCGGCTACGGGGTGCGCTCCCTCGGGAGCAGCGGTGCCGCTCCAAGGGAGCAGCCCGCATGAGATAAAGTTGCCTGTCCAGCCCGGAGGGGGGTTGCGGCGTGGAGGAGAAGGATTTCAGTATCCTGAGGATAGAAGCATGGATAGGTCGACAGCACGGGGATCAGAGAAAAGGTGAACCGGCTGTAGAGTGTAACTAGTAGGTAGTGAAATACCGCCTGCCCGTGAATGATCAGTGCTCACAATATGCTTATTCACGTACTTTTTCTGGGCGATACTGCCAAAACAAAAACTTTTGAGCTACAATGTTTTCATCTCCAATTGTCTCGCTGTCCATGTCCTCTCCTGCTTCCAGCAGCTCGACCTCGGTACATTTCTGCTCCACCACGCGGACTTATGCTATGACTATTAGTTACATATTCTCCCGACAGGTGGCTAGTCACGCTCCAGCTCCAGTGCTCCGTGGGAAACCGTCAGTCGGGTTTTTGCTCGGAGGTAAAAAAGTTATGCTGTGCTGTGCAGTGTGTGTTGCTTTAGGAGCGGGACAGGTTACTGAAACGATGCAGCTGATGTGCTCTCCCGACTGCCGACTGTCTGCCGTGGACATCGCATCGCGAGGCCAAATTGCCTTTGTTTATAAATGTGGTGCACCTATCGTGGTGTCTGGTCTACAATGCTTTTTTAAGAGATAGGAGCTCTTAAAGGGACCCTCCCACCTTCAAAAAAGTTTATGAAATGGCATGAAAGTGATGTCGCTGGGTTCAGAAAGAGCGAAAACGAATATCTACCAAATTTCACCGAAAAATATTCACCGGTTTTCAAGATATTAGACTTTTACTTTTGTTTACTTTTTGGGATCTCCGCTGTTTCTAGCGACTTTATTTTAGAAGTGTGGCGTTTGCGGCAGATGTTGCGCGCAAATAGCATATACCACCGCGTGCTACAAAACGTTTTAGTCAAACATTTAAAAATCGTTAGATATCAGCGCTGACGTCACACATTCAGAGGGGTATTCCTAAGCATTAGCCCCTCTGAATCAAAATGCTGCAATTTTGAAATTCAATATTTCCGATTTAAGGCATTTCTCGATGTTGTGAGTGCCGAAACCGGTAATTGTGAGCCAGGGACCCCATTTTGGCTATCTCAACTCAAATCTAATGTTAAGGTGGGAGGGTCCCTTTAACCAGAAAATCAGCTCCCTAATGCAGCGTTTGATCTCTCAATTAGTCGGACGTGATTGTGAATACCTGGTAGGTAATTGATTATCGGAAATGACAATAACGAATAGAACGAGAATGAAACGTTTGTATAACAATGCGCAGATGTGGTATAGCTGGTTCTGGTCACCAAAATCAGTAATGGCAGAACACCTTGGATTAACCCTATTAGTGGCAGGCTCCTGGCTACCCCATATTAGTGGCAGGGGGGGGGGGCTGTTTACGACCCCCCCTTGATATCTCGAGATCTAACCGGCCGATTTTCAAAATTCAAACGGCATTCGATTTGGCTCAACGAGATCTACATTTCTAAAAAATTAAAATTAAAGAAATGTCTATAGGGGGGTAGAGGGGGGTAAAAACGGGCAAATTGCAGATACATTTTAGACTGTTTATCACGGCCAGGTTTCTGAACCAATCTTAACGCAACTTTTGCCGATCGATAGAGAATGAACCAGGAATTCACATGGATCCTAAAAATATGCATTTTCAAAAATCATAGGCGGATACAGATCATTGAGATTGGGGGTACACAAAAAGTATAGTAAATAAGGTTTTTGTTGGTACTGTTTCTAAAAAGGGTGGCAATGGTCTTGTTATGTTACAATTTTCTTATGAGAGAACGACTAAAATTGTATTGGTCATGCATAGGCGGTGTCAGGGCACCTATGTTGGGAGGTAAAAAATAACCCCCCTTTTTGGACGCCTGGATCCGCCTATTGTAGCAAAAACGTATCAAAAGAGGATGCACAATAACTTTGTATATGTTATCACATGATACCTTTCATTCACTGTTTGTAAAACTGGTGCAGCATCGTGATCTTCACCCAAATGACTCGCTTCACGAATAGGACCCCCAATTCCCAGTGCTCTGGAGCCGCCCCTGGTAAAGTTATGAACTTAAAATTTTCAGGGAATGTGCCCAATTTAGTTTTAGGAAAAGTCAGGAAATTTCAGCATCGTAGCTTCAGCGGTTTCGGAGATATTCCCGAAAAACCTGAGGGGTGGATAAAAACAACCCCCCTGCCACTAATAGGGTTAAGGGGGGGGGGGGGGCAGTGCCGACTTTTGGTCCCATTCCTTCCACGCAACGCCCATAGGGCTAATGTTAAAATGGCAAAATCAAGGGGGCACGGTGCCCCTGTGCCCCCCCCCCCCGTTCCGCCGCCTATGACCAAAATACCCGCCGTAACATCCTTTAATGACCCGCTCCCCCTCCTTACAGAGTTACCGAACTCTTGCTGGTCCTTACACCCCCCTCATCATGACTCATGACCGGCGTAGGCGAGAAAAGAATGACGACTATAAAAAATCATCAGCCTTGTTTCCCTTCCCTCATCACTATATAAATTTATCTTCTTTCCAAAATAGTCTGCCTGTAACGACAGCCCTTTCCCATAATGAAGCCTTCCAGCTTTCAGAGTGCAGCCCGGCTTTGGCACTTTATGTCAATGTGACCCCGTCCATTGGATATAAGTGACCGCTCGATCCCGTCTGGCCATTCCAAACAGGGTGTCTGGAACGGGCCAATCGAACACACCGCTTCTGCCTAGAATGAAGCACGACGGAGGGGGGGGGGGGGCGGTCGTCATTGATTGCGACTGGCGGAGTGTTTGGTGATGGGTTATGGATCGGTCGGTGATGGCCCGTCTGTGCCGATAAAGGGCGGGGTCAGTTGAATCGGTGGTGCTGTCTGAATAGTGGGCGTGTTTAGGCAGCAGATGTTTGTCTGTCTGTCTGTCTGCCTGCCTGTCTGCCTCTCTGTCCGTATATGACTGGATAGTGGATACTGGATATGTCATATGTGTTTACCTTAGGTATCTGGGTCTTGGTACCTATGTGTTGTCTGGGTGTGGGTCTGAGGCTGTCTTGTCTAGGTCTGTCTCTGTGCAGGTTTATCTTTGTCTGAGTGTATCTTGTGTGGGTCTGGGTCTGTCCGTCTCCCCTTCTGCCTGTCCGTCTGTCCGTCTTCTGTCTGTATGTCTCTCTCTCCCTCTCTCTCTCTCTCTCTCTCTCTCTCTCTCTCTCTCTCTCTCTCTCTCTCTCTCTCTCTCTCTCTCTCTCCGTGTGTGTCTGGCTGCGTCTGCCTGTCTGTCTGTCTGTGTCCGTCTATGTCCATCTATATGCCCGTCTCCCATCTGTCCGTCTCTCTCCGTCTGCCCGTCTCTCCGTCCGTCTGTCTGCGTCTGCCTGTCTGTATGGGTGCCCCCTGTCTGTCTGTCTGCCTGCCTATGTCCGTCTCCCGTCTGCTATCTGTCCGTCTGTCTGTCCTGTCCTGTCCGTCTCTCTGTCTGTCTGGGTCTGTCTGTCTGTCTGGGTGTCCCATGTCTGTCTGTCTAGGTGCCCTCTACTGTTTGTCTGTCTGTATATGTCCGTCTCCCGTCTGCTCGTCTGTTCGTCTCTCTGTCTCTCCGTCTGTCTGCGTCTGTCTGTCTGTCTGCATGTCTGGTTGTCTGTCCATCTCCCGTATGACCGTCTCCGTCTGTCTCGCCGTCCGTCCGTCTGCGTCTGTATGTCTGTCTGGGTGTCTGTCCGTCTCTCGTCTGCCCGTCTCCGTCTCTCTGTCTGACCGTCTGTCTGCGTCTGTCTGTCCGTCTGGGTGTCCCCGGGGCCCGGCGGCGGCGATCGACCGGTCGCCGGCTGGTCGGCGGCGCGACAGACCGGCCGGCCGGCCAGACCCGGCCTGATCGATGCCCGGTGGCGGCCCGCCGCCGCCGCCGCCGCCGCAAGTGGTCGGCCGGTCAGTGACCCAGCGGCGGCCGGTGACGCCCCGCCGCCGGCCGCTGCCCGGGGCCACACCGGGCCAGGTGAGTACACAGGTCAGCCGTGACCCGTGACCCGCCGCGGGCAGTCAAACGGGTCACCCCCCCCTACCTCCCTCCCCGTCTGTCTGGTGACCCGGTATCAGCTATCTGAGCACGCTATCGGCGCCGCCATTGGAACAGATAGGCTGTCAGGCGGCCGCGCGCTGCCTTTATTAGATCGGCCACCGCCGCGCCTCTCCCGCTGCCGAGCCTCCCTGTGCCCAGACTGTGGAGTGTGGAGCACGGTGTCCAGATGTCTATGTGTGACCTTCATTGTCAGGCATAGGCGGTGGAACGGGGAGGGCACCGGGCACCGTGCCCCCGCCCCTTTGATTTTGGCATTTTAACATTAGCCCTATGGGCGTTGCATGGAAAGAATGGGACCAAAGATCGGCAGACCCCCCCCCCCCCGAATTGAAGGTGTTCCGCCGCTACTGTTGTCAGGGTTTGGGAGATATCTGTACTCACATTTCTGTCATTTGCACTTTGTCAGTTTAATCGACAATTTCTTAGCCAATAGTTATTACTCTCAGCTGTCGGGGTTTCTCTGAAAGAAACATGCATTTTGTAATTCCTATTTTCCAATTTCGATTCACACACAAGCAAGACGTGCACGTTCTTCACTTATTTACTCAATGAATCCCATGCCTTACTTCGAATGATTTTTCTTTATGAAAGC